CCAAAACATACTTTTAGTTAATCTGATTTGACACCCTTTCCAATTTTTTTTTATAAGAAATAAAGCCAAAAGAGGAACACTAAATCAGCATGATAGTGAAGCGCCCACCGTGCTCTGGCTGGGAAGGCCACGGTGCTAACTAAGCCTGCTCTGTGCAGCTGATCTACACCTTTCAGGAGCCCTGCGCCATCACGCCCGTTCTACAGACAAGGAAACAGACTTTAGGGAGAGAGAGGTGAAGGCTCTCACCCAGATCACACGGAGCAAGCGGCGGAACTGGATAAAAACACAAGTCGCCAAATACGGAGCCCACGCTTTTAAAGTCTAATCCCACAGGCCCTAAATATCTAATTAACTTAAACTTTAAATTTGCAGAAGTGCTGAAAATCTAGCCATCAGAAAGGTATACCTTAGAAGAGATCTAACAAAAGTGTGGAATAGCCAAAATGTAAGCGTGAAGGCTAAAGCATGAGCTGTGTGGAAAAATTATCAGGTACAATTATTGTACCAGGTACAATCAGGACAAATGATCATCAGACCAGGAATTCTGGTTCCCTGCAACTCCAAGGTCAGCTTAATCTCTAAAACTAGTGATTCCCAACTGTTGTGTCAAAAGCTGTATGACGCTCAAAACTCCAAGTTTGTGCCAGTTTAAAAGGTGTCCAGTTAGCAATTACTGGTACTGCATACAGGATTATAATGAAAAACAGCCAAATTCTGCATATTTGCAGAGTTTACTCATGTATTAGTTGCCTATTCTACCCAGACCCTGTGCCAAGCATCTTTACAGAATCTCTTTCTAATCTTTAGGGTGATTACATTAGCGTAGGTATTATTCCCATTCTAGGGACAATTATAATTTCTACTTTACAGATAATTATGGCTGACATGTACTGAGCTTGTACTCTGAGCCTCCCGGGCCACACCATTCTACAAACTTTATGTGTAGCAACACATTTCTGGCACAGAAAGGTTAACTAACTCCCCCAAAGTCACGCAGCTAAAACTAGGATGAAAAAGTGAAGCTCAGCAAGGTTAAACAACTGGTTCCGAGTCCACAAAGCTATCAGCTGCAGAGACAGCGGGTTAATTCAAAGCTGTCTCACTACTTCGGCCTGTGCTCCTTCTACTAGGTATCTGTGTAGTACCACCCGGGCTTACCAGGGCCCAAGCGAAATGCCGAAATGCCTTAATGCCTAGGGCTTGCAGTAGAGAGCAGTGGTATTGCCTAGAGCAACCTGAACAGCATGGGTCCTCTCTAAAGGGACAGAGTTTTCAACTCATCAAGAGAGCTGGATATAAATTCTCCATATTTTTAAACATTGCCTCAATGGTTTCTTAAAAAGCATCATGTAAGCCAAACAAAACATGTCCATGAGCTATGGGCTTGCAACTTCTCTTTACTTACTGAGAGTCTAAAGACAAAAGATGAGCTGTCTCATGTCCAAAATGTCAGGCATCAGAACTTCCAAACCAGGCTTACTCTCAGGGCTCCTCTACTTTCAACAAAGGCTGACTCCACATTCAGAGGTTTACCAATAGTAACTTCCTTGTAGGTCCCTCCCTGCTCTGGATTTGCAGCCATGGGGAAAAAAAATCCATGTTTCAGAAACTGCACATGAAATTTTGCATAGTTAAGATTCTTTCAAATGTCTTTCAGACCCTTTTGGTAAAAGTTATTACACATGAATGCAACAAAATAAAGCACTTCTCACATCCTAGCCTGTAGCTGTTAAAACTAAATTCATTCTGGAGAAAATTCTCTGCCTTTGAGGGATCCCTACTCTGCAGTCCAGGTTCAAGAATCCCACTTGGGACACTGTGGCTCATTTCCTGGTGTCCCTCTTTAATCAGCCTGGGGAAGACTTGAGGAAATGAGTCAAAATCCTAAATGCAACTTCTAGTGACTGTCAACAACAGCAGCAAAATCCATCATCACAACATCTGTACACAAACGTACTCTCCAAGGGAAGCCCAAAAATACTTGGTGCATTGCTGAACAGAATTTGTCTGAGGAGAAAAGCTGTGAGGGTAGCCTGCCGTATCTCTCACTGTGCTTGCTCAGGGTAAATGGTCCAGTGGTACTACCCATCACTGAGGGTTTTCTCGTTCACGAACACGCCACAAGTTTATAATGCTAAAATCATTTTTACTTTTTGGAGTAGGGGAATGGAAAAAATTTCAACTGACAGCATCATTTGAGCACAGCTTATCTTCGTTTCTGAGGGACTAACCTCAGGCTTCACTGCTGATTATTTTGGGGACTGACTCACCCTCAGCCAGTTCCCCCAGCAGTAAATGGCTGGGACTGGAACAATATTGCCTCCTGGGCTTGTTGAGAGGACTGGAAATGTCAGTTAAAAGCAAGGCCCCAGCACAGTACCTGGCACACAGTTTCCAATTACAGAGCAACACTATGTACGGTACAGGTATTGTGAAATTTCAGGCACCACAGAAAATGTGTTGTAATGGCACAGCATACACGATTTATCAAAGCATAAGAATAAACGTGTGGATGACTGGGAAAGACCAGACTGGGGATAAATGACTTCTTTGGGATTCCTCTGTAAGACCATCATATTATTTCCAGCAGGATAATCACCCAGAATGTGTACAGCTGCTGGGAATGACTAGCCTCACACCTGCAGGAACAGGGGAAGATATGATTCACTACTCCTACAGGTTCATCCTGCTGGGCACGAGAGTTGTAAATACTTGGGGGAGGGAAGAGGATGAAGAGTCTGGCAGAGTTGGTACCTCCTAGTCCTCAAAATGAAACTGTAGATGAGCACATGTGGATTAAGGAGAGGACAGCACAAACCACATCTCCCTGCATTAGCCAGGGGCAGACTAGGAGGGTACCACCAAATGGTCCCTGTGGTGCAAGAGGCAGAGGAATTTCAAGGAGGCAGAAAGGAATCAGGGAAAGATATCAGAAAAGGTGTAGAGGCTACACTCAGAATACTGGTAGAGGAGAATTTCAGACCCAAAGGATCCTTCAGGATGTAGATACCTCACAGGCCTCTTGAGGAAACTGGCCTCCCCCAAATTTAAACAAACTGCCCAAGGGCACACAGCCAGTAAGTCGCTGAGAAAAGAAAAACCAGAGGGCAGCAAAAGGCTTTGTCACCACACAGTAAAGCACCGCCCCCCCACCAAGCCAGACCTGAAAATTCCCTTTGCCAAAAATCTATTGGATGGAGTAGGCTAATTATGAGGAAGAAGGAAGCAATAAATTCATTTCATTTTTAATTCTGTGAGGTTTGTCTCTCTAGTGCTCTACTGGGGTCAAATTCACATACAGTAGCTGAATTTTAAAACGCCAAGAGACAAAGATGCAAGGACCAAATGTGTCATTTGAAGCTTAGGTGGTCAGACCTGTCCCGGAATCTGGGCACTCACGTAGCATCCTTCCCACCTCACAAGGGTCCAGAGGCAAGGCCCCTCTTCCCCCAGAGGAAAGACCTCACAATGCCTTGCAAGACCGGAAGCCGGAGGCTGCACCTTGAGACCTTATAGGAAACCTGAGCGAAGTCTATGGAGTCCCACAACAGTTCCTAGCGATGCTTCTTCCCGTGCAGCTCCGGAATTTCAGCTCAGACTCACTTTCTATCCTTACGTCATCAAAGTAGCCTCAAGGTTTTGTGTTTTGTTTTTTTGTTGTTGTTGTTTTGTTTTGTTTTAATGACCTGGGAGAGAACAGGGCTTCAGGGTTGGCCAAGTGACCTGCACTGGCTCAGGCACCAGCGACATCCCCCCACCCCCTCCCCCCAAAAAAGGAAAGAAGGGGCAGGAAGCCTTAGGGCTTCCAGGAGCCTGCAAATCCTCTTACTCCACCATAATACCCAAGTTCCCGCGCAGATATAACTGGATTTTAATAACAGTTTTAAGATTCAAGTAAGATTTGCAGAAAGTTCCACTCCATCTCCCACCCCCATCCCCCCAACTCAGGCAGCCCTTAAGTATCGATATCACGTGGGAGGGGGTGTTGCAAAACGGACCAGCGATTACAGGTCAGACACCGATTGGAAGGGCTTGCAGAGCTCCGCCAACCTGGCTGGGCACTATGGCTGAGCGAGGGAGACAGCCGGGTTCTGACACCTCGGTGTCCCAGTGCACTGTCCCTACCTCCCCTGACAGCAGGCAGCCAACGCAGCCCCCAGCCGCTCAGAGGAGCGTGGCAGGAAAGAAACAGCACCGCAGCAGAAAGGGGCGAGCCTCTGGCACGGGATTTACAAAAGCAGAAAGTCTGCAACCTAGCGGCTGCTTTCCACACGCCCTGCCCAAGTTGTCCCTGTAACTGCCACCTCGCGTTCGCAGGGTCCCGCCCCAGAGCCGCACGCTGCGCGCTCCCCTTGCAAAATAACCTGGAGACCCTGGGGACGCCTCAGACTCTGACCCTTGTCCACGGGTGATGCCGCGAGCAGAGACAGAAGCGGGTCTATCCCCACCTCTGGGGCACAAAGAGCGCCAGCGGTTGGAAAGCATCAACCGCAGAGGAAAAAAAAAGCTCTCCAACTTTGCCCCCCGCGCTGCTGAGAAGCTGCCGGCTGGTCCTTAGTGCGCTGGTCACAGAAGCGCAACTTTTAACAAAAGGAAGCAGCGGCCGCGCAAGAAGTAGATAACGTGCTTGGTGCGAGTCCCTGACCCACCCGCCCGCCTCTGCCCTCGCGCACCCTCGGGACAAAAGCAGACCCAAACTAGCACGTAGCCCGCACCCTCAGCCAGCATTCTCTCACGCTTAAGCCCCCTTGCTGCCCTCATTTTCGGGAGACCCCAGTTTAGCTACCCCTCCACCAGTGGCTGGGGGTTCCTCACGCAGGTGAGCGAGAATGGGCGCCGGGGAGTTCCAGGGACGCCTGGAATCCCTCCGGGTGCTGAAATGCAAGGGCAGTGGGGACCGGCAGCCGCCTTCTGCGATACACCAAAGAAAGCTGGAGCTCTCGGGGGCACAGGCAGCGGTGGGGGGCGCGGCCCCGGAGCCCGCCTAGCTCTCCCACCTGTCTGGAGGCCGAGCAGGAGGAGCAGGACGCAGAGAAAATCCCAGGCGCCGGGAGCGCCTCTCATTGCGATGGCAGCGCTAGGATCTCAGCTCCGTTCCACGTTCCAGCTCTCGCCCAAGTGCACCAAGCGCGGCAAAGCCGAGCCCCCAGAGCCGCGAGCGCGGAGGAGCAGCCCCTCCTCCCAGCGCCCTCCCCCTGCGCCCGGCCACGCCCCTTCTCGTCGCCCCTCCTAGCCTGCCCTTCCTCAGTGCCTCCCTGGCTCCCGGATTTCGCTACTCTCTGCCCGGTCTGGCCGAGACCTGTTTAATCCCTGGGGGCTCAGCCTCCCTACGTGGGAGGAGGGCGTGCGGGCTTTGACCGCCAGCTCTCGACCCCGGAACCCCTTCTCTCCACCTCTCCTCCCCTATGATGTGGTCGGGCCGCCAGAGGCGGTTCCCCTACAAGGGTGGTGCTGCCCTCTGGCTTTGTACAGCTGGGGACAGCTTTCACATTGGGACACCGGCCTGCCACCTGGCAGGTGCTCCCCGGACAATGAAGGTCGGCCGCCTGGCCCTCCAGCATGCTTCGGAGGGAGGATGTTGTTTGCTGCTGATAGTGGAGGTAGTGCGGAGGCAGGATGGAGTGGCGGGCGGGCAGGAATTGGGACCCGGGTATTCTCCATTCCTGTTAGTCAGAGGGGACCAAGAGTGACACCTGCCACCGCGGTAAAAGGCTGAGGCGGAGCGTAGGTAATTCTTTATGCTCAGTTTCTACACCTGCTTCTTAGCCTGTAGGAGCACAGTTGGTTTCTATTGGTCTGAGTGGCCTCCACCAAACAAGCTCCTGCTGAGACTGTTTTGGAGTGGAGCTTTGTAGTAGGGGAAAGGGGAAAGGGGTTGTCGGGTGCCTGGTGAAGTTTGATCTGGAAGCCTGAGTTTTTAAATCCTTTTGAACCTAAGTCATTGTACTAAGCCCTCTGGGTGCCTTCTCTCTCTCTCACTCTTTCCTCTCCATCACCATAAGGTTTTTCTGCCTCTCTATTAGAAGACAGTTACAGGGGCGGGGATCCCAGGGTTCCTTTTAGCTGCCCTAGCCTATACCATGAGCAAAGTATTAGTAAAATGATTCTCTTAAACCAGGTTCCACTGCCTAGGAAGTATTTCACCCAAGGAGACAATAGTATCTGTTTAGGATTTTATAGTTCCTTCTTACATTGAATATTACTTCATGCCCATAATACTGTAACAGCTCTGTAAAGGAGAACAGATACGCTTCTTATTTTAGTTCCAAAAGTTGCCCAAGATCACACAGCTAACAGAGGGGAGACCCAGTCATTTTAAGACTGCCTGCAGGTGTATGAACTTTCCTTACACGTTCTAATAAATAAAGCACCCCTCTAGAGAGCTTAGAGTAGAAAATAAAAGGGAGGTGCCATCAGATAAAGCAACAGAATAATTTAGATACACTTAGACTCTTGTCTAAAGTAGCATCCAAAATTTATAACTAACCAGCCCCCACTTTATTTAATATTGAAAGCTCTCCTGTTTGATGTTGATAGGACCTAAGTTTAAGAAAAATTATTTTTAAAGCTAATCACTTAAAAATTATCACAATCAACAAATATGATTGCTTCTCTTTAAATTTATCTATTTATTCAATAAGCATTTAAGTGTCTACTGTGAATGGGAGGCACTAGGCCCTAGGCCCTACCACAATCTTCACAGTCAAGCGTGGGGACCTGCACCCCAATGTCCTAGCAAATGGTTTACGTCATACAGCTGTGGGAAAACTGAAATTCAAAGTCCTCTGTCTGTGTTCGGAGCCATTGGACCATATCTCTTTCTTAGAATGACAGAGGTAAAAGCTACCACTCAAAGCAATCACAAGTTTCTGGGATCTTGATTTATTTCTAAAATCCATTTTGTAGTGAGAAAAAAATCATGAGTTAAAATATCAACAATCTGCCTGAGAGGTAAAATTTACAATTTTCTTCTTCAATCAGCTGATATTGGAGAGGATAACAATCAGCAGAGTGGGTGAAAGAGACCATACTGCAATTCAATTCCAGGCAGGAAACTATCAGGAAAAACATACCAGCGTAAGTAATTATATTATACAATGCAGGGCTGTCTTTCATATTCACAATTCAACAAACATCTCTTGAGCACCTAAGTAGGCACAAGACCTACAAAAACATCCTAAGACAATGTCCCTGCCTAGGGGGCTTCACAGTCTTGGGGGGAAAAAAACAGATACCCAAATAAGAAACTACAGTATCAGCCAGTACGCGCTAAGTTGGCCATATCAGCTGGTAGACTATTAAAATCCTTGCCCGCTGATTAGAAAAATGACACTCCCCTAAACACCTAATTGCACTCTCGCTCCAACCCCTTTGTTGGGATACTGCAAATCTCCTCGGATCCGTGAAAGTTTAATGCTGGACACAGCAGAGTGTCTCCAGTTCCGGTGCCTTTAGGGTTATTAGCTATTTTTTAATGTTTTTATTTATTTTTAGAGAGAGGGGAAGGGAAGGAGAAAGTGAGGGAAAGAAACATTAATGTGTGGTTTCATCTCACATGGTCCTCACTGGGGACCTGGCCTGCAACCTGGGCATGTGCCCTGACTGGGAATTGAACTGGTGACCCTTTGGTTCGCAGCCCATGCTCAATCCACTGAGCTACACCAGCCAGGCCAAGGGTTATTAGCTATTTTTAATAATACTCCCTGTCAACTAAGTACTAAAAGGAAGCATTGAGAAGGGACTATGAGTGAAACACCAACAGAACAAAATATTTTAGATCATGTCCAACAGAAACATTTACAATGGTGCAAATGTTTTATATCTCAGTAGGGCGTATGGGACCAGTTCTGTACTCTGTTTTATCATAGCTCTGGATCCTTTCATGAATTATACCTTAGGTATTTTTATTTTCATAATTGTATCAATTCTTGATTGTGACTTGTAAAAACCCAGCTCAAATGACTTAAGCAAGCAAACAAGAAACATAAAATGTATTGGCTCTTGTAACTGGAAAGTCCGGGGCTGATAGTGTTCTAGACTTTCCGAGATTCAAGAACTCCAAGTCCTCAGGACTTGAACTTGGTGTGTACACATATGCATTTTTCTCCATCTTTGTGCTTTCCTTTATTGCTCCCCTGAACTTGTGTACACTCAGAAAGCTCTAGGCTTACAGCTCATTAGTACTGATGTAAGCAAAGCTTTTCTGACCTTGTGAACATCTATAAAAATACTGACTTGGCTTAGGTCACATGCCCATCTGGAACCAGTTACTGAAGCCAGATGGAATATGATGATTGGCTAGGTCTGGGTCACATACCCTTCCCTGGAGCTAGGATTGGGGTTGACTTCATCCATATCATTAGGCCATGCTTAAGGGAGAGGGATGTGCCCCCCTCAAATTGAGGTACTCTCACCAGAAGGAGCAGGAACGACGCTACACAAATAGAACAAAAGATGTTCACTCTAGTCTCACACAGCCCAACTCTTTGATTGAAGATTTTTTATATTTCTGATCGTAAAAGTAAAGATGCTTATTGTAGAAAAAATTAGGAAATACCAAAAATGATAAAGAATGAAACAAAACAAAACCACCCAATATATAATTACTAAAGAATTCGTTTTTGTGTGTTTATTTCAAATCCTTTTGTCCTGCTTATTCTAAGGAGTTTTTTAAATATAATTTAAGATTCTATAATATTTGCTAGTTTTCTACCCAGCTTTTCCATTAAGATAACATAAGCATTGTCCCAAACCATTAAAAATTCTCTGGAAACTTAATGAATAACAGTACTATAATGTCCAATTGGATGCAACACAATTCTGGATGTTTAATCTTTTCTCTAATTTTTTCCAGTTTTATTTCTATGTATATGACTTGGTGATGAACATCTTGGTGAATAAGCTATTCCTGCCTCTGGTTATTTATTTAGGATAGATTCCTAGAGGTAAAATTACTACACTAACAGTCTAATCCTTTTCAAGTTTTCTACCTAATAGTCCCATTTTTCCGGTAGCCCTTTTAAAGTATTTTGTTCATAAAGTGGGAGAAGTGAATAGACTCTATACCAACAATGACCACCTCACAGTTTGTGAGGTTGAAAGAAGATGGTGTATGCTCTTAGTTGAAGCTTTCAGTCAGTATTTATTGAACATCTATATGCCAGATGTGCTACAGTACGTGCAGAGAATGTAAAGTTAGACAAAATACAGATGCTGTCCTCCTGGGATTTGCAGGGAAAGAAGATGACATTGGGGGGGGGGTAAATATTATTTATTACATTGCTATACATACTCTGAGGGAACTCTATGCACAGGGTAAGGTTTGAACACGGAGCAGCACCTAAATTACTGTGCAGAGACTTCATGAGGTTCCCCAAAGAGGCACCAATTAGATTCTGAGGATCAAGAGAAAAGGAAGGCAAAGCAGCGGGGAGAACGTTCAAGTGTAGGAAGCACACATGCAAAGGATGAGAGGCATGAAAAGTCTGAGCATTAGGAAGAACCACAGCTGTGTGGCACAGTTAGGGAGCCAGGGCCTGCTGAGGGTGGAAAGAGTTGAGACTACAGAGATAAACAAGAACATTCAGGCCAACAAACTTGAACTTCACCTCCTGAGCTATGAAGAGTCACTAGGAGACGTGGTGCTGGGGTCAGATGTGATAAGATTCTCAATTTGGAAAGATAGTGGAGAAGCTCAGTAAAGGATGAATTAAAAGCTGTCAAAACTTGAGGCAGGAAGAAAATAATAAGCCTACTATAGTGATCTACAGGGAGAATGTGGACAGAATTAAGCTGATGGAGGTGAGAATGGTGGGAGTGGTTGGGGGTGAATAAGACAGATGTTAAGGAGGCCTTGATCACTAACAGTATTGGGGAAGGTGAGTGGGGACAGGGACTCCAGGATGGTGCTCTGACTTCTGGTACATGTGTCCCTTCAGCAAGACCTGCAACTAGATTTGTAATGGAAGGTAAAGGATTGGAGTTGAGCCTATGGGGTGCGAGGTGCCTATGGACCCCTCCAAAGCTAGACAAAGCTAGACCTAGAGCTGTTGCCAAGGATTTGGATGAGGCTACCCCAGAGAGAATACGCCATGAAGAAAACAGAGGGCTGATTTAAGGGACAAACGGGGCAAAATGGTTCAGGGAA